TTGACACGTGGAAAAAACTAGGCATGAGATTGAATGGTCTAAAATTCGTCGTTTTGCTTATTTTTATGCCTTCACCTAAGTACATAATTAGAGAGGTCATCAAAATTATCTGATTAGGCAATACATTGAATGTAAGAAATATCGTTATCAAGTTAAGTAAGAACTACTTTTGCTTAATTGATAGATTCAAGGGTAGAGGTGTCAAGCTCCTTGAAAAATGGTGTAGACTCACTTAGTCTTTTCTCGTTTGGGTTCTAATTACAGTCAATTTTCTACGAAACTTTGTCCACTCTTTCTCACACAGAGACAAAAAGCTCACGAACTTAACCAGACATTTGCGCAATCAGAGCGATGGTTAAACTATAAATAAAAAGAGGGGGGGTAGTGATGGTGATGGTGGATCAAAGCTACGTATCATTCTTACAACCATATTCAAGCTAGCTAGTAAAGAAAACTCACTTGCTTATCCATAAATTCCTAAAACTGACGTTACGTTCTGTTCTAATTACTTTTAGCCTTCACACGTATATGGACACATGAAAGCACATAAACACACAAATATACACATGCATGCTTTGCTTTCTGAAGCCAAATTACTGTGCTTATCTTTCAAATTTATTTAACGAACTCTCTTTAAATCCAATTTCACCCTTGTTTTAATGCTGGTTCCAGGTTTAAAACACGTACGTGGTATCCTTTTATATGGGCCTCCGGGTACTGGAAAAACACTTATGGCACGTCAAATTGGAAAGATGCTGAACGCCCGAGAACCTAAGATAGTGAATGGTCCCTCCATTCTCGATAAATACGTAGGCGAGTCAGAGGCTAACATCCGCAAACTTTTTGCTGACGCCGAAGAAGAGGCCAAACGGATGGGCGAGCACTCGGCACTTCACATCATCATCTTCGACGAGATCGATGCCATCTGCAAAGCTCGAGGATCTACAGTTAGTTGCCCCCATTATAGTGGTTCACTCTACTGTTTAAGTTCTACTGATGAACTTATCACACTTCAATTATCAGCTGATTTTTTCTGAACGGCCTAGCTGGTCTAAACTGATTAAAGCTGTTGGAAGTCTTCAAATAAGCTGGTTTTTATCAAGGAATCTTCCGTGCTCTTTAGGTTACCTCTACCTTATAGTCCAATCTTTCCAGGGTCGGGAGTGGCCCAGCAGTGGATTGACCCATACTTTTTTATTTTGACTCGTTTTAAGGGTTGATGAGGCCCATACGATTCACCCTGAGCTAAGTCGCATATCAAAATTGTGTGACAATCGAGCATTCTCAGTTAATCTTGGGCTGAAAAAATATCAGTTCTTTACGCAAGATCTACCAATAATTCGCTTTCACTCGGAGACGGGCTCTACTCATATCTTTGAGATCAGCCATTATGATACATTGTATACTGTCTTGATAACTATACTTCTGAGGATAGCTGTAAGAGCTAGGAATACTAATTCACATTTTACTATATTTGCTTTCGAACAGAATCGGATGCAAAATAGCAGTTTCCTCCAACGATTTAATTAACCCGTGTTATTAAACTCAATAATATCATGAGTTTGCTCGCATAGTATGTATAGGATATGAAGGTACCTTTCATGAATGATAATGAGAGATAGACTTGAGGAGTGGGAAGTAGTAGCCTATAAAGCCCATCTATTAAAGGATTATTTTCTTGCCGAAGGTATACACTTGTATGCATAATTCTTTTTAATTTGGCCCAACTACTGTCATATAAAACCGACTGTTGACCTTAATCTTGGTCGAAAGAGAAGTCGTGAAAATGTGGCTAATTTAATATCGGAAATCGCAAATAGGTGGGGTATTAGACTGACTTTAAATCTCATTTTGACATTTCATTTATAGTCCTGTCCAATGTATTGAGAACTTGGATAATGAAAATATTATACTTTGCTTTGTCTGCTTTAAGGGCAAAATCATAATCTTATTTAAGCTATCGCCTAATTGTCTAACTTTAGTCTGGGTAGCTTAGTTACAATAGTAATGTATTTAGGTCCCCAAATGATCCTAACTGATAAATGTGCATTTTTTCCTTTAGTGAGAGTACCGCCGCATAATAGTGGCAGACTAGACTGAGAAAATAAAGCTAATCAAGTTATCCTTAATGATGGATACAATAATAAGGAATTAGGATCGGTATTACCGCTACATTGGCGTTGGAGGAATTTTCTTTATTTAGCTACTTAATTAATCATGATATTTTTTTTATAGGCAGGTGAAAGAATTGATTCATTCCTCTTCGTCAGATATTGTTTTGAACTGGCCACTGCAAGGCGTCACGTCCCAATTTTTAGTGTCGTGCATCTGTTTTATTTAAACATCAAGTCGTCGAATATATTCGATCTCTAACCTTTTACAATTAGCTTCATCAAGTTTTAACGCTATGGCTTTTTGAAGTTGATAGAGGTCGTTTATGCCTTGCTGTTTACTCGTGCATCTTGTGGAATGTTCCTTGAAATCCTTGTTGCTTTCATTCTTGATCGTTTTTGCTTCCGTCTGAACAACTTAGAAAATGTTAAATTGGGATTAACATCTGATTTATGCTTAGATTAGTCTTAAATTAGTTTAATAGTCATATCTACAGTATTATCTGTTTAGTTGACCCAGATTTCTCGAGACCTTACTTAGCATAATTAAAATTTTAAGTGTCCATTTTATTAAAAATTTTGATACTATAAGCGAATTGGCATATTAAATATATTTATTAACAGTAATTCAAAAAATGACATTTTTTTAGCATCTCTTAATCTAGACTTGATAATATATTATTGTGCTAAATAATAGCAGTCAATTAGTCAGTAAGGCTTGCGATGTAAGCCATTTGTTCTAATGCAAAGTGTCATCATTTATGATAGATAAATTGTACTTTTTTCTGCTCTTCTTGTTTTTAACTTTAGGGAGCTGGCTCAGCTGTTCATGACACAGTAGTAAATCAGTTGCTGACGAAGATGGACGGAGTTGAGCAGTTGAATAACATCCTTGTAATTGGGATGACTAATCGACGTGACATGATCGATGAGGCATTACTTCGACCTGGCCGTTTTGAGGTCTGTATATTTTGACGAACTTGGAATCATTGAAATTTTATATTAGCTGATATAAATTAAGCATCGAACTGTAATCTTTCATAGAAAAAAGCTTCTACTTGGTTATCTCAATTTTTGCTTAGACTGTTGAATGTTGACATTAGTTTTGTTTATAAATATGTATATACCGTCAATAATCTTCCCCTTTTCTATTATTTATGAATTCCAAAGAACTTAAAATATCGCGCCAAATACATATTTGTTCTATTGCTAGAGGCCGATTGAAAGCGAATGTATGCTATCATGGGATCCCTGAGTAGGAATGTGATTGTCGTTTGGTTTATTCATGTTGAAACTCATTATTCACAGAATTTCCCCAATTCCTTTATTCCTTTAACGATTCTTTGATCATATTAATTTCTCTCTTTAAGATGCAAATGGAAATTAACCTGCCTGATGAGGATGGTCGGGTACAGATTTTCAATATTCACACGTCACAATTGAAGAAATCAGGCAAATTGGCTCCCGATGTGAAAATTTTGGAGCTTGCAAAGTTGACAAAAAATTTCAGCGGTGCCGAGATAGAAGGACTTGTACGAGCCGCCACGTTTACCGCCATGTATCAACACATCAATGTAAGTCTATTTCAATAAACAAAAATCCCATTAACTAATAGTCCAGCTATGAGTTCGAGGAAAAGTAAGCTTTATTTGAAAACAATTATATATCTTTGGTATAAGGATCACAGTTTACATTAAGGGGAACGCTGTCTGCTCTTAGAGGTGGCTCTAAACACCTATTAAACGTTAATTAATTTACGAAATCTTTTTCTTAACTCCGGGCCTAAACTTGGTGTAGACTGCATATTTCTTCACTTAATAATGATCAAATGCTTAAGCATCCAGCAAATGCCATGCCTCCAATCTTTAAGTACACATTTAACTTTAGTAGCTGTTAATTCCCAAGATGTTCGATCGCAAGTTTACATCTGAAACCTTTTCGATGTTAAGTACTATTATGTATATTATTTTCAGGTATTTTGATACATTTTCTAGCACATTACTTCAGAATGATAAAAAAATTCTTTTCAGCGTTTTTTACGGT